AATATCTTGTGTTCCACAGTTGAAAACGTACTTATGTGAATGAGAAGAATTTTATTATATTGTATTAAGGGGCTTTGTTTTCCTTGTTTACATAAGTTAAAATTATACAGCAATCACAAATTGGCTTTTACTGATTTATGTTCTGATTATTCTATTTGCCATTTCTTAAAGTTACGATGGAACAAGTAATTACTCGATCACTTGATCACTTGACTTCCCGTTAATCGTCGATTTGCTCGAGTGGGTGTCAGTAATGTCTCCATTTATCCCTGTCGCGTGCTAGTGTAGCCCAATGGCATCTGTTTGTTCTAGGAACATGAAGAGCCTCAAATCAATCGTTCATGATCTTGATGAAGAAATCTGACCATCTGGTAGGTGGGTGGCCACTTGGTCTTTTGACGTCCCGTCTCGTGAAATCCAGTCGGTAACTGCTCTAGTCCAGCAGTCGTCTCCAAATCTCATTACCTGTCCAGCCCATCTGATTTTTGACACCTTGGCAAATGAGACAGAGTCCCTGATTCTTGATCATCAATGGAGGTCATTTTTCTCTCATTTGAGTGAAACGTGATACTCCAAGCATAGCTCTTTTGATTCCTCTCTGGGAGACCTGAATAGCTGTTTTCATAGGCCTGAGGTCTCTGAGGTGTATGTTAATGCAGGAAGAACAGTGAAATCAAAGAGATGTGCCCGGAGACAGAGGTTCTTCCTCCTCTTAGCTATTTCTTCGATGCTCTTGAAGGCGTTCCAAGTCGCTCTCTTCCTCCTGTGCAACTCAGGTGTCAGGTCATTTGTCATGTTGACTTCTTGACCTAGGTACACAATGGGTCTCATAATTACAATGGGTCTCATTCCCCTGACCCTGAAGGAACAAGTAATATAAAGTCAACTTGTTATGTGCCTAAGGGGGTGGGTTGGGGATGAAGGGAAAATGGGGACATTGGTGGAGGGAAGGTCACACTGGTGGTTTGGAACACTGAATGCCTGAAACAAATGAAAAGCTTTGTAAATCATAGTGTTTTTATTTATTTACTTACTTTTTAAATTTTATTTTATTTTTATAAGTTTGTTCACAATAATTTATTACATTCAATATTCCAACACCAATCCCACCACCATTACACCTTACCCACCATCAATCACAGTGTTTTTAATATAGCACTGTAGCACTGCCCTCCCGTTGTTCATCGATTTTCTCCAATAGGCTCACGTTTCCATTGTGAGACTTGTTGTTACTGTGTTTGGCATATTGAATATGTCACGGGTAGCTTGCCAGGCTTTGCCGTGCGTGCGAGATACTCTTGGTAGCTTGTCGGGCTCTCCGAGAGGGGCGGAGGAATCGAACCTGGGTCTGCCAGGTCATCCCATGCAAGGCAAACGCCCTACCCGCTATTCTATCGCTCCAACCCAGTGTTTTTAATGAAAATAAAATTTGAAGGAGTTCACAATTTGAAAGTCATTTAGCTTGAAAGATGATTATTATGGAATTTCAGTGTCTCTTTCCCCTTCACTTCGGTAATAAACCCAGTAATTCTTAACTTCCATCTTATTAAGAAATAACTTCAGTTACTTAGTGATGCTATGTAATGCTTTAAAAAATTAAAAGTAGTATCAAACAGTTTTTATTTTAGTCACCAATATTTACAATACTGACAATGAAAGGATTTCATGGATACATACCAAGGGTCACGGTTATATTTTGAGGACGTAATCAGGTATGTTAGTTTCAATGTTTATTCATCCAATGGATAATTACTGTATACTGTATAAAATACATCGCATATGAGGCTCTGTTCTAGGATGTAGTGGAGAGCAAAGTGGTTAAAGAGATGGATTTTGTATGGTAGAGAAATTAGACAATAAACTCTTTAAGTGAAATAAGTGGCATATGAGTGTTAAGTAATAAGTAGAATAACAAAGGAGGCAAGGGAAACAGGAAGGAAAGGTTACAGAGTTATTACAATGTATAGGTTTAGATTTGGCATATAAGGAAGGTCTTAGTAAGAAAGTGACATTTGAAAAGTGATGAAGTTGCAGAGTAAATAGCAAAGGCCCTAGGGTAGCATGGAATGTTCAGCAATTGGGAGGTCAATGAGGCTGGAGTCTGATTCAGGCTTTATGGTCATAGTCAAGTAGTAACTGTATCGAAATGATAATGGGGCCAGAGCACTTCAGTCATAGGTCATTATCAGGATACTGGTTTCTTGTTTGTTTATATTTTGGCTCACACTCAGTAGTGCTCAGGGCTTACTCCTGGCTCTGTGATCAGGGATCTCTCTTGGGTGTTCATGGGATGCCGGGGATAGAACCTGGGTTAGATGTGTGCAAGACTACTGTACTATCTTTTCAGCCTTCAGACATTGATTTTTAATCTTAATAAGAATCCACTGGGGGTCATGTTATCAATTGTCTGGAACTTTGTTGAGACTAGAATATCGAGGGATCAGAATGAAAGGGGAGATTGCCAAGTAGGTTTCTGCTATAATCTAAGAAAGAGGGATTAGTGGCCTATTCCAACGCAATAACTAAGATTGAGTCTTGGTATATAATAAATAATTTGTTAATGACTCAATATGTGTTCTGATAAAAATAGGAATATAGGAGATTCCGCAAGATCCCTTGGGCTTGGGCAACTGGAAGAATGGAGTTATCATTTTCTGAGATGAGAAAATCTGTGTGAGGGACATATTTGGGGGCAATATTAGAAGCTTTATTTTTGGATCATGTACATTTTGAGGTAATTTTTAAGCATCCTATTTGCTATTCCATGTCATTAATGCCAATATTCAACATGGTTGAATATTCATACCTACAGTTTAGAGGAGAGGGTCAAACTAACGATAAAGTTGGAGTCATCAGCATTAGATGATATTACATATCCTGAGAGTAGATGAGATTATTTAGTGAGTAAGAATTGACAGAAAAGAGGTCCAAAATCTAAGTCACAGGTGCTCTCCACTTAAAAGACATTGGGAAAACAGGTGAAAAAAAATGGGTGAGTTGCAGAAACTAAGACATGAAGAGTATATTCATTTGAGTTTTCAGATCTATCAGACAGGACTGGACATTGGCTCAGCAGTAAAACACATGCCTTGCTTGTTTGAGACATGGGTTCTATTCCTGGAACTACAATAAGGAAAAAATCGTTGATAGAATCACCAAGTAGCAGAGCCTGGACCCAGATTTTTTTCACTCTCTCATGGCATCTGCTTACTCCGTTGGTTGCAATCCTGCTCAAGCAAGGGATGTGTTGTTTCATCAAGTCTGAATGATGAAAAGTGTCTTCGTTTTAAAAGTGTGTTTGAAGTATTTCATAATTTTAAAACGCATTAAAGCAAAAAGACCGTGGGATCCTAAACTGCCAACAAAGATTTGGGAATTAGCATGCACACTCAAAACCAAAAGGAGATGTTGTTGGAGTTGTTTAAAGGAAGGGTTCTGTTGTCTTGGATGCTGTTGGCAGGTCTGGGCCATGTGTGAGTGTTTAATTGGCATGGATTAAATAAGCCAGACAGTCCTAGGAGATGGGCAAGATGAAGTAAATATTACAGGACAAACAACTCTAGGGTGCACAAAAGTCCTCTTTTTTTTCTTTTTTGGGTCACACCCGGTGATGCACAGGGGTTACTTCTGGCTTTGCATTCAGAAATTACTCCTGGTGGTGGTCGGGAGACCATATGGGATACTGGGAATCGAACCCGGGTCGGCCACATGCAAGGCAAACACCCTACCTGCTGTACTAGCTCCAGCCCTAAGGGTCCTCTTTTCCAAATATGGCAGAATCTTCTGAAACCTTGTGTTGGGGCCGGTAAAATGTAGCTTCAAGATCCCTGGGTTGTACTTGGGTTAATACTGGTCTATTGGTATGGATTGGGGATCATAACCAGTTGTTTTAACCATTTATATGACATGAGATAAACTCAAGTTGTGGAACAGAGACTCCGAATGTTCTCCAGGTGTTATTGTCCTGGCAGAATAGTCTTAAAACATGCCTTTAAACTGGATACACATTATTTCCTCCTGGGGAACTTCTAACATCCAGGTCATATACAGAGAAATCAAGTGGATGAGGGTTTCAACTTAAGCTTCACTGGAGCCTGTGACTCGATTTTAGGACCCATTCTGGAACTAGATTAGCCACCAATGCTGCCTCATGAGCACTCAAGAATGTTTCTTCCCCAATTTTTGCCACCCTTTTCTTTTTTTACTTTTTGATGATATTTAGAGGTTACTCCTGAGTCTGCACACAGGAATTACTCCTGGCAGTGTCCAAGGACCAGATGGGATGCTGGGGATCAAACCTGGGTGGGCAGAGTGCCCAGCCTGCTCAACTATCTCTCCAGCCTCTGTGTGCGTTTTATGTTTTGTTTTTGTTTTAGTTTTGAGGACACACTCAGCACTGCTCAGGGGTTACTCCTGGCTCTTCACTCAGAGATCACTTCTGGTGGTGCTCAGGGGGCAATATGTGGTGCTGGGGATTGAATTTAGGTGGGCTGCATGCAAGGCAAGCACCCTATCCACCGTACAATTGCTCCAATCTCACTGAGTGTCTTTTCGTAAGGGTGTGTTGATAGTGGTGATTCCATGATTTCTGAAATTAGAGCACAAGATTAATTCAATGGCAGGAGGAAAGTGTTCTGATCTATACTCTACTTATTTATACTGTACACCAGATTTCCAAACCAAACATTGAACACATGATTTGAATAAAAACTGTTTTCTTCTATTTTGCATGTGGGTAATAATCAAGACATATAATTTGGGTACTGAAACATTTTCATCCTGAGATATTTTGATAACTTGCAGGAACAATAAGGTAAGGCACTTAATTCGAACTGACTTAAAAAATTATGAGACTGTCTTCCCATTGTAGTTTTTGTCTCTCTTCATGAATGTATAGTGATCCTAATTGGATTCAGTAAAATATTGGTGGATGGAGCAACTCACAGGAATCATTAACACATGGAAAATATACAAACCAACAGGAACTCACTTGCTTTGATTCAATGCAGATGTTTATTTAAACAAAGTCACCCAGAAGAATATACATTGAGAATGAAATTGGGTATGATAATTATTGCTAGTAATAACATTCTTGGTATTGAGTACTGTATTTTATTTATTTATTTTTAGATTTTTTTTTGTTCATACACCTGGTTGTGTTCAGGGGTTCTCTAGACCCTGCGCTCAGGGATCACTCCTGATGTGGTGCTGGGGGTCCAACCTGGGCAAAATGTATTCAAGGCAAGCACCCTACCCATTGTACTATTGCTCTGGCCCAGAACCACAGATTTTCGATAAGTAGGGTGGTAGAGCTTGGTTATATTCAAGAAAAACCTTTTTCAGAGGTGATACATTTTAAACTTAACATGAATTACATTTGGAGGTAGTGAGTTTCCCATCTCTAAAAATGGTGGTCATAGAATCAGGTCATAAAGTTACAGCCCTCCACTTCTCTGTCTCTCTGAGAGACTTAGGTTTTTTGGACCATAGCAGCAGCACAGGTCTACCTAGTAATTGCTGGTAGATCAAGAGAAATGGAAACTCTAAGATCATCTAATAGTTTCCCAGAATAAAGGTGAAGCTGCAATTCAAAGAGTAAACAGGATTAACTAAGTGCACCAAGAAATCATTATTTGTACATACACCCTAAGGCTGTTTCAAGTCCTGTAAATGTTTAGCTTCAGGAAAAAAAAGCTCTCTTAGATGTTGGTTTTGATCCCAGAATCAGAAGAGTGGTTTATAGGACATGTTGTTTTGTGAGAGAATCCAGTGCAATGGAAAGAAAGCCTAAGAGAACATTTATTCTTGTTTCTCCTTCCTTGTAGAAGGCCCTCCCTCTGTTTTATCTACGGAAATGCCATTCTTTTTAAAGGCTCAGACCCAACACCATCTTCCTGGGAGGCTTCCTCGGTTTCCTCCATTCCTCCTATCAGAACGGCCTTTTCTGGGAAGGCAGAGGGCTTGTTGGTGTGTGCATGCCTGCATCAAAATACAGCATTTGGCAGCATTCATTTTGGTACATGGTAGTTTCTTGTGAATGTGTCATTTCTTCCTCTAGGATCTCTTGGAAGTTATGAATCATATTTTCCTCATTTCAGTAGTTTCCAGTAGTGGTGAGCACAGCCTGGCATACGGAAGTGCTCAGGCAATGTCAAGAAATGGGAAAGTGTTTTGGGAGGACTTCGTTCTAAGACTTCGGGTTGAAATTCTCCCCTCTGGTTTGGAAAGAGAACCAAAAGCTTTGCTTGGAAAATGTTTGCTAGCATAGACAGACCACTTCCATCTTCCTATTACAGACTGAGCAGGAGGACACAGTGAGGTACAAAAATTTGTTCATAGAACCATAAGTGGGCTCTGCATTGCTCTCCCTGGACATTCATCGGGCTTTGCAACTATAATATCTCTCTCCTCAGCATCTTTCAACAAGGGACTTCATTACAAGATTCTAGCAACTGCTATGCAGACTGAGAACCACAAGTTCTCATGAAGACAACTTTTGATACAATGGGAAACAAAGAATTGTACATTCTGCAGAGGGCATGTGTTTTAGATATCTGCAGGGGATGAAGTCTCTGGAAGCTCCTTGAAAGAGGAGGAGGCTCTTGGAGATGGAATGATTCTCTGTAATAAACACTTAAATAACTTTGCTGGTATTTGGCATGGACCATACTCTTGGGAAATCAGGTGAGGCAGGTTTGGGGTGCAGCTGCAGTAGCAGCATTTTATCTGCATCAAAGCACTACTGAGTCTGAGGTAAATTTTATCTTTTGGTTTCTTTGGCTTAAATTTATCAGGGAAAAAATGGCTTCATTGGACCCTAGGTTGCCACAGCTTGTAGGATCCTTTTAGATGAGGTAAAGGACATGAACAGAGTCACACAGAGTGTGGAGGGTAGAGCTAGTTCAAGATCCTGGTGTCTGATTTCCTACCACCCATTCCTAATCCCCTTCCCTGCTTCTGTGAGCACTCTGTCAATTTGGTATCAAGCTCATGTTCATAAATGAATCGAAATGGAACATTCCACAAACCAAGAACTTTAGTATCTTTTGCTTTTTTTTTCTTACTGGAGATTGGAAAGGTGCATGGTAGTAATAAGTCCCAGGGCCCTAGTGCTCAGACAAAAGAGATTCTTAAGACTGAGAAAAAGGGTACATCTCTGATGCTCTAGGGCACAGCCAGGATTTGTAAGAAAACCTCACCTTCCCACTAGCCACATGCTCTTGTGTTCAACCATATTTTGAGCCCGTAGTTTGTGCCTGTATGGTGCTAAATGTTAATGGCATATTAATCAGTTCGATTCTCATCATACATCTATGAGGTAGGTCAGATATGCAGCTTCCATAACACAGACTAGGTCCAAAGAGGCTAATTATCTGCCAGTGTTGCAAAGAAAGTGACAGTGCCTGGGTTTCGCCTGGTGTGCTCATAAAATAGGTGTAGGGCGCTAGGCTACCACCCACTAGACCACTCTTGTTGACTAGAGAAGGATGAGATGAATGAGGAGGTTGGGACGTTGAAGGGGCATCTTTTATCAGATAATTATGCTCTGCTACTGACTGCCCCTGACCAGCAGTTTGGTGGATGAGGAACAGTTCAGTTGCTCATGTTGGTGACTCTCTGTATCCAGTCCTTGTTGTAATAGATGTTGGAATACACTCCATAGCGGTCCTTCTTTGCACAGTCCACGCCCCAGGATACCGTGCCCACTAGATACCACTGGCCCGTCTCTCTATTCAGGGTTACCATAGGGCCCCCCGAGTCACCTGAACACGCGTCTTTGCCTCCTAGTGAACAAGAAAAAAAAATGAGGGTGAAGAGTCCCTTCCTTAGTCTCAGAGGTTATTTCTTCTCCCCTTATCTCATTTGTAGTTTGCTAATAGGGCACTAGAGGGCGTAACAGACCGTTTGATGCAAACGGGCAATGCGTAGCGCTAGGTTGGCCTTTTCCCATTTTAGAGGGGCTGTCCTTTCATAGAGGGTTTCACAGTGGGGAAAATCAGTCTTGGAGAATGAAATAACGGAATTCCTTAGTATCTATGACATGATTTTTCTCCTCATGACTGTCCTCCTCTTTATTTCTTCACACGCGTCTTCCCACCACCCCCTCCAAACCCCTCCCGTCAGACTCAGATTTTCATCTGAGGCTCAGAACCACTCTCTTGCAGAACATTATTTTATGCCAGCTTCCTTTTTATTGTTGTTGTTTTTGATTGCTTTGTTTTGTGGGCCATCCCCAGCAGTTTTTAGGGCTTACTACTGGCTCTGCAATCAGAGATGTATCCTGGTGGGGTCCAGGGGACTATACGGAGCAGAAGGGAGAGAACATGCAAGGTAAGTGACCTACCTTACGTATTATCTCTCTAAGGCCCTCGAATCAACATTTTGACGTACCTTCTTTCTCCCCAGCACAGATCATGTCCCAGGTCACTTTCTTCATCAGTGGGGCATAGGACTCCTGGCAGATGTGATGGCCAACGATTGGGATTTCAATCTGGAACACAGGGCCATCGTTGGTCCACCATGCTGCCTGAGGTGTTCCTGCTCTTTGGACAAGTTCTTCTCTATTGGTTTAACCAGCTCTTAACAGCCTGGGGACCTGCCTAATGGTATATATATTTTAAAAAATCAACACTGGGGGTTGGGGTCTGAGAGACAATTCAGCAAGTTGGGAATTCCCTTGCACGTGGCCAATCTGGGTTGAATTCTGAGCATCCTATATGGTCCACAGAGCACTGTCAGGAGTGACCTTTGAGTGCAGAGCCAGGAGTAACCCCCAAGCATCATTGGCTGTGGCCCCAAAACTAAACCATATCAAAACAAATAAAAAAAATCAACATTGGGACCTGAGAGATAGTCCAGGAGGTAGGGCACTTGCTTTGCATGCAATCATGCCTGTTGAGACTCTGGTTTGAATCCTTGGCACCACATATGTTCCCCTGAGCATCACCAAGAGCCACTAATGAATACAGAGCCAGAAACAGGTCTTGAGTACTGCAATGTATGGCTCAATATCTCCAATGACAAATAAAGAAGCACAAATTTAAAGTAAACACTGAGAGGAGAATACAGAGACCATCTTTCAGTACAAACTCTCATGATTGTCCTGGCTCTGGCTCTGCTTTGTGACTTTGGAAAAGGCATTTAACCTCTTTGGACTTCAGTTCTCTCTATAAAATGGAGAGAACGATTCTTGCCTATCTCTTGCATTATTTCAAACAATGATGATGTATGTGAAGTCTGCTTGTCTTTTTTTTGTCCCCGTCCCACGCCTCCTCCACCCCCAACTATTACCTGCTAGAAACATGAGACATAAAACTTAGTCAGCAATTGTATGATCTCTGAGACTCTGTGCAAAATCATATGGGATCACATGGAATTGTAAGAGGCAAATGCATAGATCCTTTAGAATCTATATGGTATAAATGCTAGGTTCTGGGAAGTTCACTGTTGCTCTTACTGCTTATCTGGTTAGTGAGCATTTCCTCTTCTCTTACAAAACTCTGAGCTTCTAGACACTGGGCCTGTATTGTATCCATTTCTCTCTTGTATAACTTGCTGCATAGTTGGTACTTAGGGAAGATTTTTTTTTAAAGTGAGATGCTATATTGATACAGGAAAGTAAAGAATTGTGATGATTACTGCTCTTAAATCAGCTTTGGGGTAAATGTTGGAGTAGATTTCTGGATTACAGCAGGGAAAGATGAGTTTCATTCAATCTAACACATCATGCTAATCACAGTGATAATGACTTTCTGTCTCCCTACTTGACTATAAATCTAAGGAGGCCAGAGAACAGACGTGTCCTTTTTTTTTTTTTCTTTTTGGGTCACACCGGCCATGCACAGGGGTTACTCCTGGCTCGTGTACTTAGAAATTACTCCTGGAGGTGCTTGGGGGACCATATGGGATGCTGGGAATCGAACCCCAGGTCGGCCATGTGCAAGGCAAACGTCCCACCTGGTGTGCTATCGCTCCAGCCCCCAGATCTGTCCTATTACTCCTCAGTATACCTAGCTAGTTTAATATCCGACACACCGGGGGCACCAAATAAAAATGTGGGAGTTAATGAATGAAAGAATGAATGAACACAAACAGTTCAAACATTTTGGAATTCAAAGTCCTAGTGAACTTTGGAGGTGAGTCTGTTTCCTGAACCCAGGGGAACTTCTACCTATATTTCCTACTGGACTGTCCAACTCCCTGAGGGAAACATGGGACAGGAGAGTCCAATCTTAGACACTATCCATTGAACTTACCTCCATTAGGGTCTCTGGGAACCTTTGCAAGAACTGTTTTCCCCAGCCACTGACAATGACCATGGTCCCTGGAAGAGAGAAAACAACAACAGTCAGAGCAGATAAGGCTGTCTGTGAGGGTATCAAAGGACTATATCCTGCAGCTTCATCAGCTTCTGCCTTTGGAGGAAGCGCTGAATTTGGCCTGGCAGAAAAAGGTACCTTAGTATGGAGAAAAACTAACTGTGTGGTTTGAAGTTGCCTGCAGCATCATTTGTGTCTATGAGACATGAACTGGCTTATTTATTCCGCAGCTTCCCTGCCCAACAAGCATGGAAATAAGATGCTACAAGGGCTGTGGCCTCATCTCTCTTGTTTAAAGCCAAATCCCTGTGCTAACAACAATCTAGGGGCTCAGTCAATAACTGTGAATAAATAAAATGTCCAGCCTAGTCCACATTATGCTATTCTGCCTTTAAAAACTTCACTTTCCTTCTTCTGGGCCTCCAAAAGTATAGGAGTTAAAGTGCTTGAAATACACATGGCTTCCCTGGGTTGAGTTCTGGCACCACATGTGGTCCCCTGAGCACCATCAGAAATGTTTCCTGAATACCAATCTGGAAACAATACCTGAGCTGAGATGGGTGTGACCCAAAGAACAAATTTTTTTTTTCACCAAAAGTACATACCACAATATATTGGCTTCATCCATTGATGGGTACACCTGGCAATGCTACATTTGACAATACTCCTGGCTCTGCACTCAGGAATCATTTCTGACGGTGCTTGGGGGACCATATGGGATGTCAGAGATTGGACCCAGGTCTGCCATGTGCAAGGCAAATGCTCTCCCTGCTGAACTATCTCTCCAGCCCCTATTGATGGTCTATAATTAAGATTGTTCTATATCCTAGACTTTTAGCTATTTTTTAAAAAATAGATTTTCTGAACTAAAGGAGATTAGCTGTGGCAAGACAAGCTCTGGATTTAGAATAGGTCAAAAATCATATTCCCCCTTTAAATTTTTTTTAAATTTACTCACTATGGATTACAAAATTATTCATTACTGGGTTTCAGGCATGCTATGTTCCAACACCAGTGTCCCTTCACCAGTGTCCACCTCCCTCCATCACTGTCCTCTGTTTCCCTCTCACCCAGTACTGATGGGCCAGTGATATCTAGCCTCTATACAAGACAATTTCAAAAAAATAACTTTTGGCACTGTGATTTATAGTACTGTTACTGATAGTTTTATGCATAATACTAGCCCTCCTCGTCCTGGTAGATGGCTTCCCTCCACCATTATTGCAGTGTTCAAAGAAAATGAAAATGAAACTCACTGCCCTGGAGGGATGCTTACTCTATATTGTAGATATTTGAGTTAATGATTTCACTTAACCACCACAAATAGGAGATTGAGGTTTAGCATCCTTCTCAAGGTCACCTGAGTAGGAAGTGGAGCAGGAGGACTGAAACCTGTGCTGGTGATTAAGCCAGTGCCCCGAAGCCACAAACATATGCTCCTATGCTCTGCTTTGTAATGCTGTGGAGGAGAAGCTGAAATGGAATTCGGCTCTGCCTAGAATCTCCTCAAAGTCAGGAGCACTGTCAGGATATTTTGTCATTACTGTTGGCGTTACTAGCACTGGTTCTTCACCTGGCAGTGGTGGTTGGTTCCGGCTGTTTTCTCTGGCAGTGTCAGCATGATGCCTCTTACACAGAATTTCAAGTTCACCCTCTAATTTGTCCCTTCCTAAGCTTCCTCTTCTCATTCATCCCCCCAGCTCTAGAGATGGTTGTTTATTTCTGCAAATACTATCTCTATGTGGGCTGGAACGATAGTACAGCAGTAGGGCGTTTGCCTTGCACGCAGCCAACATGGCTGACCCGAGTTTGATTCCTCCATCCCTGTCAAAGAGCCCGGAAAGCTACTGAGAGTATCTCACCCGCATGGCAAAGCCTGGCAAGCTCCCTGTGACATATTTGATATGCCAAACACAGTAACAACAAAGTCTCACGATGGAGACGTTACTGGGCCCGCTCAAGAAAATCGATGAACAACGGGAGGACCATGACCATGACTATCTCTACAGCCTCAGCCTTCCCCTTCTATTTCTCTGTCCCTCCAACACCTGATGTTAAGTTATCTCTATTACAATAACTGGGAAGGTTTTAATTTTTCTATGGACAGATGTACTACTGGTAGTAGTGATCAAGTCTATGGTGGTACTATGGTATTACCATTATGCTGCCTTGGAATGACTTCTGATTTGTGGAGGGTGGCAAGGAAGTGTCAGCTGAGAAATTACAAGAATCTCATCAGCTGGGGTACCAGCATCTTTGCAGCACTAGAAACCTCTGAAGAAGCACCAGCTGCTCTGAGAAGTCAGAGCATGGGAGGGGAGGAGTACCTTCCTCTGTGGGCCCCTCAGGAAGACAGATGGGCATCACAAAATTGTTCAGCCTTGGACGGTCCAACAGTTCCACAAGAGCCACATCATTCTCAAACGTCTTGGGGTCATAGAGGGGATGGAGGAAGATGTGTTTGACCTTGAGATGCTGCTCATTTTCATCTGACCGGATCCTCCAGTGCTTTCCTGGACAGGAGGGAGACATCAGAGAGACAGAGACAATGAAGTCAAGCAGGATAGGGTCTGTTCCCTGACTTGCACCTTTTCCTGCCACTCACCCACCTTTGCCCATTTATTCCACTCTACCCCATCTCCATGGAAATTCTATTCCTTATAATCCTTATTTTGATGCCCGTCACATGTTTAAACCATGTACCTACTCTTCAGTGTCTGTATCATGGGTTGCCTCTTCTATGAAGTCCTTCTGATTAGATTCTACAGCTAGATATCATTTCCCTCTGAGCTTGCACGGCACTTTGGCTGTTCCTCTCCCACAGAATTTACTGCTTCCAACCTTCTTTCAGTGGGCTTTTTGATTGTGTTTTTTGGTTTTTTGAAGTCAATAGTTTTATTTAGGAAATAGAGAGAGGAAAAGGAAAGAGGAGAGGTGAGGAGAGGAAAGGAGAGGAGAGGACAGGACAGGACAGGACATGACAGGGCAGGACAGGACAGGAGAGGACAGGAGGGAGAAGGGAGGGAGCAGAAAGGTGGGAGGGAGGGAGCAAGGAGGGAAAGAGAGAGAGAGATAGAGAGAGAGAACAGAATCTTAGACAGAAAAGAAATTATGCACGCCCCCCCCCCCAAGCTGGGATGCCAGTGATTACACTATTTGTGTTAATTATTTATTCCTTTATTAGACTACGAACTTTTTTCCCCCCCACAACTTAATTATATGTGAGTCCTTAGCTCCTGGCATGGTGTCAGTAATTGAATTGCATGAACTCAGCTGGTGGTCTTGATTTAACAAACAAGAGGGCAAACCTGGATTATTTGTATATAATTCATTGAAACCACAGATTCATAGAAGCCTGCAGCATCTTTGGGAATAACTCTGTCTCATCATTATAGAAATGGATATCTAGCCTTGACTGACTCATCCTGATCCCAATACCTGAAAATGATAACCTCTGGTTTCGAAAATCCAGTTGATAGGACTGGACCCTGGACACCTGTCCTGGCTTGTTTGGTTTATTAGTTTTTATCCCAGGTGCCCTGCCCTGATGAGTGGATGAGTGCACACCCAGACCACAATTGGCTTCAAGAGTCAGTTTTCCCTTCACTCACCCAAGATGATTTTGAAGTCAGAAGGTCTGAGCAAGTATGAATCGTGCAGGATTGTTTCCTCTGGATCAAGTGACTGGTGCAGGCAGTGGGCTGCCGTCACAATCCACCTGGAGCCTGAGGAAGGAATCGCACAAACCTGTTTGTCTCCACTGGTCATATGCACCGGTCCTGCCTCCCACTGTGTCCTCAGAGGCCTTTACACTACTCCAAGGGAGTTGTGTCCATTGTGTGTCACAGGTCCAAGGCTATGCTCAGGGGTTACTCCTAATTCTACATTTAGGAATTAATCCTGGCAGTGCTTTGGAAACCATATGGGATGCCAGGGATGGAACCTGGTGGGCAAGGGAGGTGTTGTTGTTGTTGTTGTGTGTGTGTGTGTGTGTGTGTGTGAACATGCTAGGCAAGTACCTTACCCGCTGTACAATCTCTCCAGCCCCAAGATGCTGTTCTTAAGATGAGGTGTGATTTCAACCATGGTTTCATCTGCTTATTTTAACTTTGGTTGATCTCTTATTTTTTATTTACTATAGTGTAGGCTGGAGTGATAACACAGCGGGTAGGACATTTGCCTTGCATGCGGCCTACTCGGCTGAGCCGAGTTCGATTCCTCCACCCCTCTCGGAGAGCCCGGCAAGCTACCGAGAGTATCTCGCCCGCACAGCAGAGCCTGGCAAGCTCCCCATGACGTATTCGATATGCCAAACACAGTAACAACAAGCCTCACAATGGAGATGTTACTGGGTCTGCTTGAGCAAATCAATGAACAATGGGAGGACAGTGACAGCAGTGTAAGTTATGCGTATATAGGTAGTGCTGCCATTCATTGTCTTGGTATAAACAGTTACCTTGTCTTACACAGGGCTGGAGCAATAGCACAGCGGTAGGGCGTTTGCCTTGCATGCAGCCAACATGGCCGACCCGAGTTCGATTCCTCCGCCCCTCTTGGAGAGCCCGGCAAGCTACCGAGAGTATCTCGCACAGCAGAGCCTGGCAAGCTCCCCGTGACGTATTCTATATGCCAAACACAGTAACAAAAAAGTCTCCAATGGAGACGTTACTGGGCCCACTCGAGCAAATTGACGAACAACGGGAGGGCCTTTACCTTTACCTTTTACCACCACCACAACACACACAGCATCCCCTGCAGGCCCCTGTGTCACTTACCGTTATTCACTGACTCCTCTCAATCTGGTACCTGTAGTTAGTATTCCAGCACCCAGAGTTGTTATCAGTAGATATTATCTGACCTTGTTTTATCTAAACACCACAGAGTGAGGTCATCTGCTGTTTGTCCTCCTTTTGACGTATTAGACTTTTAGTTCCATCCAAGTTACAGCAGACTGTATGATTTCATTTTTTTTCTTATGATTGCATAGAATTCCATTGTGTACATATACTACAACTTCTTTATCCATTCATGTGTCATTGGACATTTGAGTTGTTTTCATAACCTGGCTATTGTACTAAGTCCTACAGTGGACATAAATGTATCCGTGTCCTTTCTGATCAGTGCTTTTGTGTTTTGAGAGTAGATAACAAGAAGTGGCAGTAATTGGGGGACCATGTGGGATGCCAGGGATTGAACCTGAATTGGGCATGCTTGGGGGTGTCCCTGTGTCATATAGGAGCTCTGTACCTTTTATTGTTTTGAGAAATCTTCATACTGTTTTTCATAGAAACTGAGCCCGACAATATTCCCAGAAATGGTGAAGAAGAGTTCTGGGCTAACATCTTAAAGAAGGTATTATCTTTTTTTGGCAGGGGACCAAACTCAGCAGTGTTCAGGGCTTACTACTGGCTCTGAACTCAGGGATCATTCCTGGTGGGCTCAGGGACCATACATGGTGCCGGGAATAAAACCTGGGTGGGCTGAATGCAAAGCAAGCCCCCTACCCACAAAACTATTGCTGTGGCCTGAGGTTATTAGCTTAATTAAACCCATAGATTGGTGAGCCCAAAGTGGATTCACAACAATCCTGGTGCCTACTAGCTATTCCTTAGGTTTTGTGACTTGGTGTATAACCCTTGAAACTGCTGCATCAGCTTCACCTGGGAGTTTCTTAGAAATGCAGATTCTCAGACCCCATTTCACTGAATCAGAATTTGTCTTCATCAAGAAAATGTGTCTATTTTAGTTAATTCATTAATTAATTTATTTTTGTGGGGGAGAGCACACCCAAATGTGCTCAGGGTTTACTTCTGGCTCTGCATTTAGGGATCACTCCTGGTGTTCTTGGAGAACCATTATGTGATGCCAGGGATCAAACCCAGGTTCGCCTATCCATTGTACTATCTCTCTGGCCTCTAGGAAAATATTTTTATCCCAGACCCCCAATTCTCTATATTCAATTCTTACGCACAGTGAACCTTAAAGACCCCTGATATCTGGGTGCATCTTTATATACATTAGAATTACCTGGGCAATTAAAACAAAAACAAAAATCAGTGTTTGAATCTAAAACTAGACCTAAGTCATGGGAGTAGGGCTCAGGCTCAAACATACTTTAAAATTTCCCTCAGATTATTCTATAGCTTTGGCTGACAAGTTTCAATCTTTTGATTTTAAGATTTGGATTCTGAGGATGAGAGGAAAACAGAAGTATCAAGGGTATCTAGGAAATAAGTAGCAACATCAGGATGAGACTCAGATCTATTGACAGTCAGTTCACTGCATTTGTCTATTCTTTGTGATCCTTTTCATTAAGTGGATAAGTGTCTGCCTGTTTCTTACTCAAGGATTAGACTTTGGGTCATCCTTTAGGTGGAACAGATACCAAATCCTTAATTGTATCCAGAGTGATAACTAGGGTGAGCTGAGCAGAGAGAAAGGCAACAGGGATACAGATGACTGTCGGAATTCAGAGTCCCAGCACTGGACTCTTTTGCACAGGTTCTGGGTCCTCTCAGGAGAATCAATGTGATATGTCTTCCCAGTTCTAGATGTTGCTCCACAAAGTTCCACCCTTCTCTGGAGTCCCTTGGATCCCTGCCCATAGCAGGATCTGCTGACCAAATGGATCAAGTGAGAGAAGGTACTTTGGTAGAAGATCTGTCTTAGAGCAGGGCTCTGGGGATTTAGTGAATGCAGGGATGCCAGAACAGGGCAAGTCCAAAGATAAGACTTGCCTCATGGTTCTGTGATTACTGATTGGGAGCCCCTCAGCCTGGCTTCCTCTGACCTGATTTGTGTGGGTGTTGAATTGGTTTTCTCCCTGTATTACCTCAACAACTTTCCTGATTTCTTTGCCCTCTCTCACTCCTCTCTTCTCTACACAACTGTGTTGGGGGGCATGGAGAAGGAGGGGTTCTGGGCTCTGGGGAGGGGGTGGTGGGTCCCCTGATGAAGGGTGTGGTGTTGGAATTATATGCACGAGAAACCAGTATTGTAAACCACAGACTTTCAATCAATAAAAAAATTGAAATGAACAATTGATTCATGGGGGAAGGCAAGAGACTTTGGGTAGAGCAAAAAGGAGAGAATTTTGTAGTTTGCTGGCGGGTAGAGTGTTTGACTTCAAAGATATTTCAAAATATGGGGAATAGACACTCAGAGGATGCAAGTACAAACCGAACTTTAAAAACCAAAGACTTATGAAATGAATTTAATTCTTAAAACTGTGGCCACATAATCCATCTCTTTGGCTTACCTTCTTCTCCTTCAGTTGGAAATGCCTTAATTTACATCTCTGCCCTGCTTGTTCATCAGCCTTCTCTTCCGATTCTTCCTACACTTTTGTTCCCACTGCTTTTCTTCTTAATTCCGGCCTCTCCGCTGACTTATCACTGATGTAGCATGATATGAAATGGCACGGGTTCAGGGGATGAAGGGAGTTGATCCCTAAGTATGATCATCAGATCACCAGAGCCCTGCCAGGAGTGATCTCTGAGTGCAGAGCCAAGAGTAAGTCCTGAGCAAAGTCCAGCATGGCCCAAACAAACCAAAACAAAACAAAGAAGAAATGCTGTGGGTTCTACTTTGTGCTTTTGTATGTGCACAATTATCGGCAAAGTTCCAGTACTTCCCCTTCTCTCCCCTCTTATGGGTTACAATTGTGCTTCCTCTTGTCCTATTTATTTCCCCTTACTCTGTAGTGTTCTCTTGTTTTCTCATCTTTTCTGTCTCCTTTTAAGTTCTCTATTTTGTAGGGTGCTCCCAAACAGTGCTCAGGAGGCCCCAGGGCCCCTTCCAGTGATTCAGCCAACTGGATCTGTGGTTCACTGGAGGGCCCTGTGGGGTTGGGGATTACCCAGGTCTCGTCTGGTGGTGCTTGGGGACTCCTGGGCGGTACCTGGTGATGCATGGGGGGTTCATGTGGTGTCCGGGATTAGATCTGGCCTTAATCCCTGTACTATCTCTATTTTTGCCCTTATACCCTGAATTTGTCCCCTATCTCAATCTCAATCCTTCCCTCCATTTGCTCCTCACCTCTCCATGGCCCTTTGGGAGGTTCCTTATCATAAGAACCTTCATCTTTGTGTCGGAGGAATATAAAGATCAAATGCATGCAGAGAGGTCAAGGATATATCCTGGGTTGTCTAGGCTGCAGCCCTCTTCCAGCCATGTGTCTTTCAATGGGGGTCTTTGATGGTGAAAAGAGCACCCACATTGGTGCTCCCCTGACAGCACCCTGGAGGAGGGAAGTTGCTAAGAGTCTGGCCAGAGCCCAAGAGCTTTTCAAGCACAGGTGAACCCTCGAGAACCTTCTTCCTCTGGTATGCAGCCAGAGTTTGGGGTCAGCGATGGGGACTCTAGATCTTAGTCTTTTAACTGTGGGTCTAGGTGTCATGGGACGGGGAGGAGTCACATAACTGAATGAGGAGGTCAAGAGGATGGAGAGATAGTACAGGAATTAAACGCTTGCATGCGGTCAACGTCAGATCAATACCAGGGAACACATGGTCCCTCTAAGCACTTCAGCACAGAATGGGAGTGGCCCTGAGCACTTTGGGGTTGTGTTACATCCTCCAACCCTTTCTCAGAGCATATGCTATTCACTAAATGTGGGGTTCTGAAAGTTTTTTTTAAGAATTTGTTTGAAAATAAACTTCTTTACCGCATTTATCAATGTTTGATTTTTATATAAATATATACTTTATATATCTACATACCCAGGTCACATCATAATTTCTCAGGAGAATAGGGGTTGTGAGTGGGAAAGTTTCAGAAGCCCTTCTTTAGATCACCATAAATCTTTCTTGTGACAGCAGAGCTGGGGATGGGCCTTAGATGATTTGGGCCACATTGTGGTAGGAAGAGCAGACACCATCCTTTCCTCCCCTCCCTCAAGCTCCCACCCACATCCATTTCATTAGAAAATTCAGACAGTTCTATTGCTCAATGCTTTTGAATCTCTTTCTTGCCCATCCCTTTCCCCTGTCCTTATTCTGAGGCTAATGACTTCTCTCCTCACTGTTGCAATAACTACCTCCCAGAACTCCTAGCTTCTGGATTCGCCCTTCTACAGATTCACATTGCCCTAAGACAATTTTCCAGACATGCTTCTGATAAAATCTAAATTACTGGGACTGGGGAGATGGCTTAAAGGGCTAGAGCACATACCTCGCATGTCTGAGACCCTAAGTTTGATCCCTGGCATCATATTCCCCCATCCCCACAATGCTGGGGTAAGTTCTGTTAACCCCCAGTACCACTGAGCCTGAAAATCACTTCATTGTTGGACTTGCACAACCTGGGCTCCTGAGTACTATCAGAGATCCCCTATAAACCTAAATTCTTAACTTAGTGTTCAAGGATACTACAAATCATCGTCCCCTAATTTCTTTGGGTGAGTTCCCTGATTCTCCTTGTTCCTGTAGTCCAGAGACCCCTATTTTTTGTGTCATGTAAGTGTCTTGAGTGGAAACCTGTGTTTTAGTGTCTGACTCGAATCTCTTGTAGTGCCAGAGACAACCCCATTGGCATGTGATAACTGAGTGAGCAAACTAGAATGAGAATATGTGTTTTCTGGATGCAGTCAAGATTTCTTTCTATATACTATACCTTTGGGCTCTGCAACCTGTGTAGAGAGTGTTTTGATTTGGGTAGTGTTAGATGCACTTCAAAATGATGCTCAGGAGGTTTGATGACCCCTATTAGGAATTCTTGGCTGGGTCATTTGGCCTGTGATTCAGTGTGAGGGTCTGAGGCTGTGGTGCTGCTAGGAACTTTGGTGGTCTTTGGGTGGGGAGGTCTTTGAAGGTCGCACTCAGCAATGCTCTGGAAACCGTGTGGTGTTGGGGTTGAACTGGAGTGGCCACCATATAAGTCATGTGCCTTAACCCTCTATCTTTCTGGACCCTAGACAGATTTTTTAAAAAATTGAATTACTGTAAGATACACGGTTATAAAGTTCTTGATGATTGGGTTTCAGTCATACAATGTTCCATTACCCATCCCTAGACCAGTGTACACTTTCCACCAACAATGCCCCCAGATTTCCTCCTCCTCCTCCTCCTCCTCTTCCTTCTTCTGCTTTTTCTTTTTCTCCTCCTTTTCCTCCTCTCTGTCTCTCTCTCTCTCTCTCTCTCCCTCCCTCTCTCCATCACTTTTAGGAATTGTGGTTTGCAATATAAATAATGAAAGGTTATAGACAGACTATTTTGGGGGGGGGTAACACCTGGTGATGCACAGGGGTTACTCCTGGCTCTGCACTCAGGAATTACTCCTGATGGTGCTCGGGGGACCATATGGGATGCTGGGAATCAAACCTGGGTCGGCCTCATGCAAGGCAAATGCTCTACCCACTGTGCTATTGCTCCAACCCCTCTTAATAAACAAATTGTGGTCGTTCTCTATGAAGAGGGTGGAATCCTCTTCCTCCCATTTTGTCCCTAGCCCCATGATCCCCAGCCTTTCCAACTTCTACTTACCTACAAGGGAGCCACCACAGAAAGGCTGCCCATTCTGGTGGGCCAGCATGGCAATCCAGGGCATGGTCCCCTTTTGAACTGGGCGTCCATTGAAGATTCTGGCCATCATCTTCCGTGAGATCTTGGGGAGCCCGCACACTGTAGCCAAGGGAGGGAGGGACATATCAGACTTTGGGCTCCTTTACACTTTCCTAAAGCTTCTGGATCATCACCCTCTGTTCATAATGAGTGTCCATGACTTTTCATTGCCTAGTATTAGTTTCCTCTTTCATTAACTGTACCTACCCCAGTTTTCCTCTGATGCTCATTCCTTCTAGTTCCTCTAGGATGAGTTGAGATGACATCACCTTTGGTTGTAAGGATAGAAATATGACCAAGACTTGACTAATTAGTCTCTTAGACCTTGTAATATGATGGGTTGGCCATTTGCCTTGCATGCAATAAACCTGGGTTCAGTCCCCAACACACCATATAGTTCCCTGAGTTCTGCCATGAATGATCCCTGAACACAGAACCTGAGCCAAGTTTGCCCCAAATCAAAACAAAAAAACAAAAACGTCTCTTATTCTTTGACTTTGGCAATTGTTGAGACAGAGCTATCACTTTGGCTAGACCAGTGAGAACCTGAATTGGAAATTCTGCTAAACTTGTTAGAAAAAAAGAGGACCTTTTCCTGCTGAGGTTGCTAAGCTGCTGACTATAAGTCTATATCTGCCAACTGTAAATTCATGTAAAGTCTGCTGAGAATTATAATATGAGTAGAGGAAAATAAGTGGAGTTAAAAGATGAGTTAAACAAAAGAGATTGCACCCTGATATTTGAACCTCTTGATCTCATCATTCCTGAAGTCCTTGGCATGATCGATCAGATACATGAGCCTAGGGTGAACCCCCAATCTCCACTGCCAGTCCCCCTTAAGCTGTGTAAGCTGTTCTTCAAGGAGATTTGACTAATGACATTTTCTCATGCTCCATCCATAGATTCTCGAAATATCTTCACCTTGAAAATCATACCCCAAATTGTGCATGAACTCTATACTCTGTTTTCATTGACTTGAATTCACAGACACATAGAACCTGATGCAAAGAGCTCTTGGAGATCAATTGAATTTATCCCTCATTATATAGTTCAAGAAGCTGAAACCCAGAAAAGGGATTGATTTGATGAGTGTTATTCGCAAGTAAGTAGCAAAACTCAAGGTCTACCTCTCCTGACTTAGTAACTCTGGCCTTTCTTCTTCTCAAACCAGTACTAGTCTCCAACCCACATGACTACTCAGAACATTCACCCTGCAGTCCCTGAATCCACACAGTTGACTATCTGCTTCCCTGGTGCTTCCCTGGTGAGTAAGTCTAGGAAGTCATAGGTGAAGGGACTGTTACTGTCAACATGCTGCTCAGCAGCATCACTTCACAGGCTCTTGTTGGCTGCTCAACCCTATACTCTTATTCTCATCCCAGCAGGTACTCAGAGGCCATAGGAGTATCTTCCAACTATCCTTTTTCACATCCGTCTTCTCCCTCTGTAAACAATTTTTTTCTTTTTGGGTCACATCTGGCGATTCACAGGGGTTACTCCAGGCTCTGCACTCAAGAATTGCTCCTGGAGATGCTCAGTGGACCATATGGAATGCTGGGAATCAAACCTGGGTTGGCTGTGTGAAAGACAAACTACCTACCTTTGTGCTATTGCTCCAGTCCCCTCTCTGTAAATGTTTTATGGATTCCTTATCCCACACTAAAACATACTCTGGAGACTTGATTTTGGGGATTCTCAACCCTTCTCAACTCTCCTTTCTCTTCACCTCCAAAATTATAGTCAAATCTTTACTTCTAAACAACTTTAACTTTCTTTCTTTCCCATTCATTCCACAGTCTCTCTTGGTTTTCTCTTCCATAGCAAGCATACCCCTAGCAGGAACAGACTCAGTCTCTACAAGTTTCCTCCTCCTTCGGAAGTTGACATGTAAGAAGAAAGTGTTACCCCTGTAAAGACTTGGAAATTCAGTGGTCTTTTAGAAATTTAGTAAATCTGTATTAGTACTTGGACTGTAAGGACACAACTTTCACAATTTTATTTGACATTGTTTCCACCTCTAGGAATTCTCTTTGCTCTTTGAATATCCTTTGATTACTTTTTGAATACTAATAACAGTAATGTATCCACTGTGTAAGAAGCACTTGTATATAGCTTTGACTTTGTTCAGTGCCAAGGATTGAACTCAGGACCTCACAGATGCAAAGCAATGACTCTACTGCTGAGTTATGGGCCAGGCTATATGATTGGCTGTCCTTCCTTCCTTCCTTCCTTCCCTCCTTCCTTCCTTCCTTCCTTCCTTCATTTTTTTCTTTCCACTTGGCTTGATCCTGGCTCTGTGCTCAGGGGATCGCTCCTGGAAGAACTCAGGAGACCATATTGGGTGCTGGAGATAAAATCTGGGTTGTCAGCATGTAAGGCAAAGCCTTAGCTGCTGTGTCATCTCTCCAGCCCCAATATATTTGATATTTAAAGAGCAAAGCAGGACCACATATATAGAAATATACTCTTTTATTTCAAAATTTATGCTTTGTGATAAAAATAAAAGATGTGAAAGAATATGGGGAATATCCAAGTATAATAAACCTCAAATACTAGAATATAGACCTGAGAGTGCCAGGTTTGAGGAGGGGGGAGATGGGGAGGAGAGGGAAATGATAGGTTACCAGAAGTAAAATATGTAGAGGATCTCAAGTACATGGCTGGTGGTGCTAAAGGAGATAATATTCTTCACCAAAACCATAGTTTGGTGAATCCAATTAATAAATAGTAGGGGAGGGTCAAAAGGAAAGAGACATTGGCTTGGAGGTGACATAGGGATGGCTGGGGATCACGGGCATTTTGGTGATGGGTGTGTGCTATAACTTTGTATATCAATACAAGAAACTTGAACATTATTGTAACCCTATTACATAAAATATAATGAAAAAATAAAATTAATTAAATAAATTAAAGGGTTGAGTCTGAAGATATAGATCAAGTGGTAAAGCACAATCCTAGTACATGTGAAGCCCTGAGTTCCATCCCTCACACTCTAAGGATCCTGGGCACTTCCAGATGTAGCCCTGACGGCCCCTAGCACTATCAACTGTGGCCCCCTTGGTTCCTGAGCACAACACAGGCCACATCTCAGGTGTGGGCCACCAACTTTACCCTGCTGGGACTCGCCTGGGTCCCAGAATACTGGCTCCGGCCCCTTAGATGCAATTTTATTGATTGATTGATTGATTGATTGATTTGCTTTTTGGGTCACACCCAGCGATGCTCAGGGATTACTTCTGGCTCTGCACTCAGGAATTACTCCTGGAAGTGCTCGGGGGACCATATGGGATGCTGGGAATTGAACCTGGGTCAGCCCTGTACAAGGCAAACGCCCTATCCACTGTGCTGCCGCTCTAGTCCCTTAGATGCAATTTAGACCCATGTCTCTAATCTACTATCTCCTCTGAAATATTTCAATCTCCAACCTACTGCTCACAAACTCCTCAGTCACAGCAAAACTTAGTCCAGTTCTCCACTGCTCCCCAGCTTCCCTCTTTTGTCATTTCAGATGACTGTCAGTATCTGCACAGACACCATCCTTGTAATCCCCTTTCCTTCATCCCTCACTTACAATCAGCCACTAAGTTCTTAAGGCAGAAAATTGTCAGGAGAAGCAGAGAATAATGTGTCACCTCCACTTCATGTCATAAAGTTCTCTCTATATCACTTCAGTGTGTGTCTCAATATGTCACAATACAAAAATCCACATATCTGGAGAAAAGTAGAAACCTGACATGTCATATCGCACAAAGCATAATCCTTGAAACCAGTTATATTAAGTGTAAGGCATGATTTAGGAATTTTTCAGTTCTTAGTAGAACATGTGGGATTTTCATTGTAATACATAAACCTAACATGAAGGTATACCATGAGAGCTTCCCAAAGAAAGGCCTCATCAGCATGCTCACGCATGCCCACTCCCTCCATCCCATCCCTGCACTTTTTTGCTCACAGTATCTATATGCCAGGCCCTGCTGAATATACCACTCAAGGGCATAAAAATTCCCCTGCCTCACATCTGCACTGTTATAACACTAGATCTATAACATAGATGTTATAACACTAGATGCATTTTCACTGAACCTCTCCAGAATGGTTCCAGTCACTTCCCACTGCTTTCTTTAGCTCAGTTACCCTCACCATCATCCCTGGACACCATCATCCCTGCACACATCCCTTTCCACACCATGCTGCTTACCTATAAATTTACTAATCCACTATTGCACATGGGGAAGAACCTGCATTTCAAACAAACGCTCCAGGTGTTTCTGATGTAGCGTAAACCAGAGAATTACTGGTTATAGAATAGACTCTGACGTAGTATGGCTTTCATGAGCTAGAGTCTCTCTCAGTTCTCACTGCTCCCACTCTAATCACATGAGCTTTCTGGTCAAACCCCTGCTTTCTCTTCCTTCTTTCACCTCTGCTTGAGCACACTGGGGAACACCTCTGTAACATCTTGTTCAGCCATGTGAATCTCTCTCTCTCTTCTCTTTCCTCCCCCCGCCCCCCGCCCACTACCCCGTTTGTGGATCACACCTGATGTTGTTCACAGGTTACTTCTGGCTCTGTACTCAGAAATTACTCCTGGTCGTGGTAGGAGAAACCATATGGGATTCGGATATCAAACCTGAGTCAGACTCATGCAAGGCAAGTGCCCTACGAGTGGTACTGTCTCCAGCCCCCTTTTCCTTTTCTCTTTTGATATTTAACTCCGTTCACCACTAGGAGCTTATATGCATGTGACCCTGCCTTGCATACTAATTTGAACTCTTTGCAAGGCTCTGAATGGCACACCTTTCAGTGAAGGAATCAGCAATGTCTGAGAGGAAACATCCACTACCCACTCTGCCCTCATCCCTTCCTGGGTGATATCTAGGTGACAAATATCTTAATATTTTTTGATCAGGGACAGTTTTTGGCTCAATGAAGTGCGAATTTCCCTGCCAAAAAGCCAAAACAAATGCATAACAAAAAACAAAAGTGAAGAGAAGGTTATTGGCTCTCCATAGAGGGTTTATTTCCATGTTAGAGCCCTGGCGGGAGAAACAGTGTGCAGA